ATAGCTCTAATTTACTTATAGTCTTCTTAAAATTTGCATATAAACAAAGCGCGCCCAATAGAGATTGCTTACGGCAGTAAATCCCACGGCAGTAAATCCTGTATTACCTACAACGTAATACATTCAACATACACAGGTTAGAAAACAAAAAAAGTTTATTTATTATCAACAATTGAGTAGAAATGTGATCAGCTAGACTGACTAGAAATCGAGATATCGACGAAAAAATTTCATTCTTATTTGTAATCTCTAACGTAATACAGTATTACATCTCTAACACCTTAATAACGATATGTTTTACTACCAACACAATATTAAGTCGTGCGTATCAAATCCACATATAGTAACTTCATATAGACTAATAAAAAAAAGAAACATCACAGAAATAAGATCTAACGGTTTACCTAGAGGACCTTTATTCGATTTAATATTAATTATCCTACTCATAGCTAGTCGTGATTCTAACACTAATATACAATGGCATCTGTAGTTTTGTACTACATCTAATTATTCATAGAATAATTACAGTTCGATCAAGACTTCAATTAAAATAGATGATCTCATTCATATTTAATTCAATATCTGAGAATTAGATTACAAGCAATTATATATATAATCAAAACATGAAATGGGACAGAACTAGCTAACTCATGGTTACATGGTCACAATATAATCACACAGCTCCTATGATAAAAATAAAGAATGTATTGTAAGTAGAAATTTTTCCGTATTTTCTCTTTCGGTCTTTCTACAATACACTAGTAAATTTCGCTTAAGTTGGAACCATTTTGTAGTCAAAAGCAAGCAAAGGCTAGTCTTTTTGTCATATATTTTTTACTACAACATTCAACTGAATTACAACGAATTATTTGTAATGTATATTGTGTTTGTAAAACATGAATAGCATACCAATATTCATCAATATCATATTTTGGTTGTTCACTAATTTTTTCTCGTGGTACACGACCATTTTCTTGATAATATTCATCTGATGCACGAACTCGAAATTCATGTCTTTCTTCTGCTTCTTCTTTAGCACAAATTCTATTTTTAAAAATAAAAATAAAACTAACTACTTTCG